GCAGTAAACCAGTCCTTTGGTTGGTATTGTTATAACATGAGTTATCACAGAACAGCAATCTCAGTAGAAGAGGTACTTTAAGCACAAGTTTGTGCAACGATATGACAAGTTTAACTTATATTTACAGTGATAATGATGTGCAGTTAGGTTCACTAACCCATATATAAACTCTTACAGTTAATATGCAGTAATATAGCATATATATTTATACGTTTGAGTTCGTAGTACTACTAAAAATAAATTTGGTGAAGAATGTGTAGCTGAGCAAGTGAAATGTTAATAGCACTAACATATTTTAAACGAACTACAGTAAAAGATACAACTATACTGAAGTTCGATTTAATACTAAAAGCGTGTAATTAAGGACACCAAAACACATAAAAAAACACTAATTTATTTAGGATTTACAGTAAAACATATTATTTAAATAATTACTGTCAGTTACTAATAAATGGGGAAAAAAACTAAAGTTAATTAAAAGCTGCCTAGATCGGTTCAAAAATATCATTTGAGTAAAGAAGTTGAAGTAAATAAGTAAGAAACAGATAGACGTACATGAAACTACAGTATTATCCTGGTTAAAATGTTCATTAAAGTTATTCAATAATAAACACAGCCATTCGTTATTTACAACTTCAATTAGAAAGATATCAGTAAGTGCAATGAGAAGAACATTAACATTTCATCATATTCCTACTACAAGAGGAAAAACATGTACAATTGTTCTAAACCTGAGAAGTAAATGAAGACCAAACAAGTTACCGGTAGTAAATAATTTTTGTAGCAAAATGCTGCCATTGAATAAAATAAGTATTGTCTTATTTAACATTGACAATATTGGTCTTAATTTTTGAAAAAAAATTGAAAATTCCTACTATTTCCATGGAAGCTATAAGTTGAATAAACTAAATTATCACTAAAAAAGACATACGATTATACATATACTATAACAAAGTATATATATATATACCATAATTGCTCTCCAGTAAGCAGAAAAATCTGACTATATACAGATTTACTTGTAATATATATATATATATATATATATATATATATATATATATATATATATAAAGTCACCTCGGATTATTGATTTTCGTTTTACGCTTATATACTGGCCCGCGTGAAGTCATATACCGTGTAACACTTAAACGTATACGTTCTTGAAGTCCATTTGAAAAAGTTGGTGGTGAAGCTAGTGATGATCGCTTTAGTTCCTTCGATACGAACGAATGAGTTAGCTGGAAAACAGAGTTGAGATAATTTCTTTTTAATTGTCTCAAATATTACATGAATGTAACGAAAATCGAAAAAACAAATTAAGAATGATGTATTACAATGATATCAGCAATATATTTTGACTATCCCTTTATTGAAGATCATGTTCACCAAAAATGAACATTAGTTTTAAAATGAGCAGATGCAAACAGAACATTAAAGACACTACAACTATAATGAGATAACAAATATATAAGTGAAATTCTGAAGAGCGATACGAAAAATGTCTAAATAAAAACTAAACTCATGGAAAAAATCTGACGGCATTTCTTGATGTACATCAAGTTGTTATTTGTTTACGAGTATTCCGTTGTAATTTTATTGGATGAGCGGTATTGACAATAAATATACAGCTCAAGATGAACATACATAAAATATAATAAACTTATTTTGACCATGGAAGGAACTGAATGTGTGCCAACGTAAGTACAGAAGGGAAGTTTAGAATATTCGTATTGACGAGCTGGACAATATGTTAAGAAAATTCTGTCTTTCAAAAATACAGTTTTATGTTGTTGAGGAGTCGTAGTGGAGATGAAAAAGACTATGAGCCATCAAATACAGGTATACTCTCTTAATTTTACTTACAGGAAAACTCATTTGCATGTATTTCTTACATGAGATGTTTTGTCTTCTACATTTCGCAATTTCTCATTGCTATTTGAAATGCAAAACTTATGGAAGATGGAAAAATGAAGTAATTAGATATCAGCTTTAAGCCATGGACGTATATCATACATACATGTTACTAGATAATAAAAGAGTAATCCTACCTTTTTCGTTATATGCAAAAAGTCTTCGCTTGAGTCTATACGACCAGTCAAACAATTGGGTAGTCTGTAGGGCTTCAGAAGACGCAAAATGTAATTTCCAACCTAAAGAGAATTAAACAGAAAATTTTGTCATCAAACTGATTCGACAAGATATGTGAAATGATCAGAAAACAGAACACTAAAAAAATTGATGTAGGTGACCATTTTGAAAGCTTAAATTAATTCAGTGTATGAAGTGTGATCCATCCCCTTAAAAAATTATAACGTAATTAATCCAAACAGTATGAATAAATACACGTAGGCTAGATTGAGAATATCTTGATGATACACAAATGGTTCACATACGATTTATTATTTTGATCATACCCTACAACATCAATTTAACAATTAATATTTATTTTTATGTTCGACTTGGATCTATACATCTTGTGGAAATCTAGTGATACCATCAGAATGACGGAAACAAAATATGAAAAATTTGAATTTTAGATCAATTCAAATAATTCAATAAAAGCTCTGAAACCTTGGATAATAATAATGTGTGAGTAGAGTCACTGGTAACTGATATGAGGGATAAGTGTAGGACTAGCCACTTATATTTAAAGGTTAACTCACAATCAATTTCATGGGTGTGAACTTACGCACCTTAGTAAGTAGAAGATTCACAAACACAGAAAAAAATGTGATAGAACTCAGTGGTCAACTAACCTCATGAGTAAACTGTCTCTTCATCTGTCCATATTGCTCTTCAGTAAGGGTGTTTTTCTGAAAAACAAAACAACGGTATTTAAGGATTTAGAAAATGGATAGTTTTAGACTATTAAATTTGATGAAAAGCTCAATCAATTATCACATGAACTGTTTTTCTTACGTCATCTTTTTCATTGGGATTTATTAGTGGCTTCTCCCACTGAACACTATTGGTTTCTTTATTGTAATAATACAGTCGCCCACTCGAGTCAGCAGCTGATTTCCAGCCCGCAGGTAATGAGTTTAAGTCATCATCAGCATACCGTTTGAGTTCTTTACAAAGACGCGTAACCTATATCATTTTAAATATAAAAGTGTAGAAAAATATTTCAGAAATACATTCATATGAGCGTGCAGATAAGTGCCTTTCTAAAGATTAAGATAAGTAGACAGAATTATGAGATTAATGATTACATGTAAACGTTTTAGACCATTTAAGCACAAATTCAAGACAGAAATTTGAAAAGTTAGGAAAATTGTGAATTAAACTACATTAGAGAAAACAATAGTGTAGCTAAGAAAATGTTGTACAAGTAGATGAATTATTATTCCCTGAACACGTTAGTTAAAACATATAAAATTAATAGCACATCTTGAAGCCTAAATTGAGGTCTACAGAAGATGATTTGTACAACAAAGTATCAAGATAGGGCCTATAAATGGTAAGAACGACTTTGTAGGAGGTTAGATGTGCATGAAATAAGAATAAAGTAAGAATCAATAGGAAGTTTAATTACAATAGGAACACACCTGTGGAAGATTACGTTTGACCAGTAATCGCGTCACAACTTATCATGAACAGAAATGAAAAGCAGAACGTGATGTTTGGTGACGCTTTAAACCGCTAAATTGCATATACTCTCTAGAAAACTGACAGAACAGCTATAATTTGGATAGAATGTATGCTAACGCACAGGGAAACAATTTTTTGTGCTGAACGTCCATGGTGAAATCAAACAGGAATCCCAACGATTGGCAACTCTAAGAAACATCACTGTTGATTTAAAAGAATGTTGTACCTCATAATACATGATCTTAATACAATTCACTAAAACACTAACATTCTATAAAAAGTAGTCCTAAAGTACAGAACTAACTAGAAAACTAAAGAAATCCATGATAAGAAGAAATAACTATTGTCAGCCCTTAGGTACCAGGTCTCATTTAACATGAGACTCAGTGATTGGAAGTCAAGTGCTTAACAGAATACAAATAAGAAAACTGGTTCGATAGTTGTATAACATAGGACTACCATTACTTGCAACTGTCTGCCCTCATAGAGGAGCTATTCATCCTTTTCATGTCTGCTTCCAATATTCAGTGAAGTATGTTCTTTGATCTTCTTTTTCTTTCCCATTTCCCTTCGGGACTACATGTTAGCGACTGCCTCATGATGCTGTTGGATGATTTCCATAACTTATGTCCTATCCACCTTCAGCGCCATTTTCAAAATTGATCTTTATCCTAAAGCTGGTATGTCCTCTCCTACAGTAGACTGTTGTTGATAGTATCCAACTAACACACACTGAGTGTCTGGCGTAAACAATTGTTTATCAGTACCTACACATTTTGATGATAGTTGTAGCAGTTCTCTAAGTCTCGGCTCCGTACAATAGGACTGTCTCGACCTTTGTATTGAAAACTTTTGCTTTCATGTTGGCTGATGAACTAATTACTTCTATGAATTTGGTGTTCAACTTGTTCCGCTGATGAGATACAGCAACTTTGACCGATGCACTTATGTGCTTGTTCTTACGTTGTAACTGACTGACAGTTATTTTTAGTTCCATACGTTCTCCGGTTGTAAGAATTCTGCCCATGTGCCTTCTCATCTACATCAGATCCTCCTTGTTCATCAATTTTGCTTTTCAGTCTCGTGAAAGCATCCACCTATTCCAGTGCTTCTCCATCAAGTGTGATTTGGTTGGATTTTTAATTCAGTTCAACAGCACCCTGTTGAAACTTTTACTGGTACCGATAGTAGTGTGATGCTTTCGTAGTTCTCATACTCGTTCAGATCTCCTTTCTTTGGTATCTTGGTGAGGTATCCTTCTTTCTAGTCTGTTAGTGGCACTTGTTCTTCCTCCAAATCTTTCTGAATAGAATATGAGGCATCTTTGCAGTTACTTCTGTGCTTGAATTCAGTGCTTCAGCTGGTATGTTGCCTGGTCCTGTTCTTTTCTCAATTTTGATTTGTTTGATGACCATCCTGCTTTATTCGATCGTTGATGGAGTGACATCTATAGGAAGGTCTGTGTGTGTTGGCTTCGATGTCCGGTGGATTCAGTGGAGCTGAAGTATTCAAGAGTTCGTGAAAGTGTTCTACCCATCTTTTCTTCTGGTTCTCGAATTTCATTAATTAGCTCCCCTTCTTTGTCCTTGACCGGTCTTTCTGGGTTGCAATATTTCTCTGCCAGCTTCTTTGTTGTGTCATATATTTGTTTCATATTTCCATCTCTTGCACCTTTTTAGCTGTCGTTGCTAGGTCTCCCACATATTTCTACTTGTCGGCTCTGATGCTCCTGCTCACTTGCTTGTTTGCTTCTGTGTATTCCACGTGTGCTTTGACTTTCTCTGCTCGTGTTCGGCTGTTGTTAAATGCTGTCTTCTTGGTTTTCCTTTCTTTGATCTTGTCCAGTGTTTCTATAGAGATCTATTCCTTATGATGATGCTTCTTGCAGCCCAGAACCTCCTGACACGTTGAAGTTAATGCTTCTTTGATTTCTTTCCAGTTGTCCTTCATAGTAGTTTCTTACTCCTTTAGTAGATCATGTAAGGCTTGGAACCCATTGTTGAGAGTTATCTTGAATCCGTTGATTTTTTTTCAGTATTTCGAAGCAAGGTTGTATTGGACCTTCGCAATTCTGTTTCTCCAGTTGTCCATTGCTTATTTAACTTCAGTCTTACATTGACCTGAATTTTTTATTGATGCAAATATGACCGATCTGGTTCTCTGTATCTGTTCAATGGGACTAACGTTACACAACAAGAAATATTTAGAGGATAACTCACCAAATCTGAATCGTAAGAACTGGACATCAAAGTCAACATACGAGGTAAGGCTTGTAACAAAGTAGAAACAACAGGCATGCTTTTCAATTCTACAGCTATGTTAGATAAAAGATTTGAAAGGGCAGTATCGTTTCGACCGCACTCACTTAAAAGTGCACAGAGTAATAGCTGAAACAATGAAAAGAACGAATACCAAATAACACGAGCGTGAAATGATGCAAAGAGAATCAATCAAATATTACTGGTTTGTGATTTGCTATTTTTTAGCATGGTTTGTTTACGGCCTATAATTTTATCACTAAAATTTTATTGACATAACACAATGTATCTAACCCTAAATGTTTATAGTTGTGAAGTGAAAATCAAATGTCACGAAATCATTTAATATTCTAGAAATATCACTCTGAGTTGTCTCGTTCACAAGAGAGTCGATGTATGAGATAATTTTTTATATTATAGTATAGTGAATATTTTTAGTACTAATTTACGGATTATTTTTAATTATAATTTTGTTGTTTGATTAGTAAGCAACTGGGTTACTATCTTTATGTACTCTGTTGATGATAAGTTTTCGGTTAACGCATTAACTACTATCATGCCTTCAAAATTTGTTGACATTCTATTACTTACATTTACCCTATTCATAGCCGCTTTTCGCCCGTTTATGTATAATTTTTCATTTTATGATGTGATGCAGCTGGTATGTCCGTATATAAACTACGTTTGTTTGAAGCATATAAAGTAGAAGCTGTTTGCTGACTTTTGGACTTAAGGAAGGTAAAGAGAGAAATTTGCGAGATGCGGACCAATAGGAAGTTAGTTGTATCAGTTCACGATCGAAATTGCTCGTGAGGTATGTAGCTGATCAAATCGAAGACAATAAGCTGTGCAAGAACGAGAATTAGGAATCTGACTGATGATTTGACATGTGATATCAATCCGCGGTCTCGAGACATAACGCTTTATGTCCGTAAATTTGCCATCAACTGATCAGACACTATGTGAAGACCATAAGGCTAAGAGTAATGAACATTTCATGGAAGTAGTATTCTAGAAAAAACAAATTTTAGATTTTGATTTTATCACAGAAATTTGAGAGAAGCCATCATATTGACTGGAAAAGTAATACTAAAATACTATAGGATTAAGCAAAACAAAATGATAAATTAATATTGATCAGGAAATTAATTGTTGGCTGTTATTTGGATTTGATAAAATGTTGTAGAAAAATGGAATCATAAGTAAATAAAGGTAAGAAACAAGCAAAAAATTACCTGACGTAGATGATCTGTATCCTTTTCGTCGTTAGATGGATTTGTTTGCACAAAATCATCCGATGTAGAAACAGAATTTTCAGATGAACATTGATTTTCATTAGCTTTAACTTGAGCTTCGAAAAGCATACGTCTCTCAGCTTTGGACAAACATGACGAACTGTTGGATGCTTTTGGACCATTCTGCTCTCGAATGAAAGATGAAACCAGTTTGTCACGCAGACTTGAGAAAGAACAAAAACAGGGAACTAATTATAGTATTGCAGAAAGTGCTCATCATTTCATGAAATCAGGATAGATAGTATAAAATCATGTGTACCTTATTTCGACAGGAAGCTTTTAAAAAACTATGAAGTATAAAATAAGAAACACTGTATAATGCCTACTGATCGAAAGTGGTACATTTGAAGACGTGAATCTTCCTCAAACAACAACAATCCAGGAAGGACTAGTTAAGACAAAAGTGATAGTAGGTTTAATGAAATTTAAATGATTCGAACGGCAAACAGTTGGTATCCTATCACTGTTCTGGAAACTCTGGGTATATTTATAGAGTAAAAAATCCCTAGAATTATTTAATATGGGAAAACGCATAGGTAATCGATGAATGGAAAGTAGATAATCGTGTTTAAACTTACGTTTTATTTGACTGGAATTTACTGCTACTCTTCTGAGTCCAAGATTTATTGGATATTGCTTGTTCATCTGATAAAACAAACAATAAAAATAACTGACCAATTAAGGAAACAATATTTAGTTGTTATAACTTTATGATCAATGTTAAAATACGATGTAGTCGAATTTCAGATTGTTTATTGAATCACATATTTGTTTACGAGTCTATAGCTATCATAAACTCAGTTAACATTTCATTTAAACCTCCTTCCGATTTCCAATGTTAATATATATCGTTATTGTTATTTGAATCGTTTTTACCTACACATTCTTAGAAACCTGATATTCACACAAAGAAAAGGTAAAGCATTACAATAAGTAGTCATGTGTAGTTATGATTGTTGTGAATGTGCAATGCTGAAGAATCCCAAACTAGGACGAAGTTATCCAGTGCTTCCTCGTTCTTAATAGTAATCTAAAATCGGTCCGTGATGCAAACCATGAAAATTTACGTCTTCATAAAGCCCCTATATCGAAAGTTTTTTTCGGTTTAAGCAATCCCTGACTATGGTTTTATATAAAAAGCAACTTAAGTTTTTAATAGTTCTATGAAATGAACAGAAACATTTAGTTCCAAACAGTACCGACCTTTGTATTCCGATCCCCAAGAGATAAGAGAAGAACCAATTCGATTTGATATATGAAGCATTTTCTCGGTTTCTTGACGCTCCAATCGCGGTATCCGGTAGTTTTCCTTCTATCATAACGCACAGAAACATATAAATGGCATTATGGTAAAAACAGGTTTGATGTAAATGATGATAATGAAATATATAACCAGTAAATCCTATAGATTGTGAAGAACTTACCGGTAACTTAGACCATTTTTCAAGCAGTTCACAAGCCAAAGCCTTGATCTCCTCTATCCATTCCTCATTCGTCTTAGCTTTACATTCTTCAGTGTCCATATTTATTTCGTTGTTGTCAGCTGCATATCCGACTTCAATTTCACCATTATTATCATCCACAACAGTTACGGGGGACATATCACAATCCGAAGTTTGAGTGATAGCGTTAAAACCTTCTTCGTAAACTGAGAGTGTCGAAGCATGCAACACACACGATGCATTCTCCTTCAAGGAAGAACTAAATGAGTCGGAACTCGAAGGTGATGCAGCAAAATCACTATTCTTATCACCTGTTTGTATGGAAGATGATTCATTGTCTTTGGTACTCTTAGATACTGAAACATGAAAAGTAAACATTGTAAATCTTAGAATGAAAATAGATCATCTCACAAGAAGTTACATTATGGTGAATTTGTGCACGTAGATTTTTATGAGAGACAACAGTCACAGAATATAGGAAAAAAATTTCAGTATTAAGAGAAACAGTAGAAAAAACACAAGTGAACAGCTTCCGTAATTAGTAAGACCGAAGCTGTGCATGATACATTATGACATCAAAAGTTCCTAAACTTTTGAAAATGATGTATCGAATTCCCAACATTTATACATAAATGAGCTGCATATGTCAAGTTAGTTAACAAACAAGCAATGAAAACTGAATCCAATATTCAAACCTTTGGTGTAGTGGACAGTCTCTGACCAGGGTTTATTCCAAGTATTTTAAACGAACGTTTTAGTGTATTCAACGATAATAATTCATCAGTGTTAAAAGTTAATAAATATCCGTTTATAGTGTTAGCCGGAAAAGGTTTAAAACGTTTTATCCATCCAGCAATAAATAGATCTTGAAGACATCTAGAAAAATAAAGAACTACGTGACGTCTCGTTTGGAATATTACTGATATGGTTATGAAAACCAGTGAATAAATCCCACTTCCTGTGAATAGATTAACCATTGAAGCAAAGCTTTAAGTAATATATTGCGCCTTTCCCCTACTGTTTGGGTTCAAATGTGGAAGTAATCTGAGATACATGAGGCGTCAAGGGAGTTAATAACAAGCGTTTAGGTACGGAAAAATAGAGTTAGCATCCTCATATTGATGAGTAATTAGTCAGTTAAACAAAGGAGAGCATATACATCGATTTATCATAGCAATAAAGAGTTTGTGAGAATAGTGTGTAGTGAAGATTAACATGAGAAAAATGATGTCCGATGAAGTACCATAATAAGTGGCCTAAATTTAAGAGAAAATACAATCTGTAATTAATTTGCATCAAGTTTCAACGTGAAACATTGGACGAGAAGGAACGGAACAAAGTAATAACTGGAAGAAGGACGGATCTCAGCGATAAACACCGAGTTTAGATAAAATACGTGAAAAGTAATTCCTATTTACATTACAATCGAAAATCTCTAACCCTAAGTAGGGGTGTTTTTAAAGCGTCAATATTATAGAACTACACGGAAATGTCTCAAAATCTTGACTTTCACAAAGAGCAATATTAATTTCATTAGCACTACTAAAAGTACAACGATACAGGTTATACAACATAAATACATCTGTAACTTCATTCACGATTCGTTCTTCGTTTTAATATTATGGCATCTATTTCACCCTACTCATCAAGTGTTCAGTTAGAATGGCATGAATAAACCGACAAGCCGCCAAATCTAAAGACCAAAAATATATTCTCCTACTGGACATTCTGAAGCAAACGCAAAAGCGCTTTGTGAATGTCTTCGGAATTCTGATGAAAAGAAAGACCAAATTCACCATAGTTTGTATTTTAACAGATGGAATGTTAGTTGAGAATGATATGTTCGTAAAGGATCTTTAGAAATCTTATGTTAAAGTTCGCATCTGTAATAGCAAGAATTATTAGTATTTGAGTATGGTATTTGTTATCATCAAATTAATAAACCTAATACGATCGATAAGCGATATAATTCATAACCAAAAGCTATCTAACTGACAGGGGGAATACGAGTGATCATGAGAAACATATGCCGAACTACTAGCTATCAATAAGTGGCTAGCCACTGCTGGTTGAGGAGAACTCAATATAGACTTGGTCTGTGAACTGGGTACTGTTGTAAATTGTGCAAACAACTGGTTAAACTGGAAATCATTTGACTATTTAGTTTTTAGTTTTTCGTGGTGTTCTTGTGTTGATCTCACTCCAGAACAGAAAATGGTGGTAAGCTGAAACAAAATATGACAATCTGTCCTTTTTACTGTTTGATATGAACAGATTATAAAACTATGGATTTAAATACATTATTTCCATTTAGATAAAATATGACAATGAACTTTTTAACAAATAAATTGCCAATTTAATCATCCAACATACGTGATTTTGTTTCATCAGAGTCAAAATTCGACTCCATAGGGAGTTCATCAGTGGAAAATCTAACCAAAGTAACATTTGAAGTATCTAAAAGCAAAGTTCAGCAATCTGAGCAACTTTACCTGCTATATGTACATCAGCACTCTTCCACGACTCGGGAGGAATACTACGTGCCCGACAGTGGTGAGGATTGGAAGTCCACTGTGCTACTATTTCCATAAGGCGTGAATTCGACTGTACTTGTTTTTGCTCTGAAACAGGGATGTGTTTCAAGCAAACTAATATCTAGAAAGAAATAGATTTGCAAACATACATGAGGTTTTGATTTTGTTAACGTATAAAATATATCGAAGCGCAAGCAAATAAAGTGATAATAAGCGAAATGCATGTGAAAGTAGCGCATATGCACATATTATAATGAACGAGAACATAGGTGGGGACAACCGACTGTATTTAAATACAGAATCTCTTGGTAAAATATTAGAACCATACACTAAATACCTCACTTGAAAATTTTCATCATTTATCCTTCAAATTATGTATGATTCTTTCAACCCACAATTCCCTTCTATTCTCTTCAACTCGATCTTCTTAGCCTTCTGCTGCCAGGTTTTTCGCTTCCAATTGGTGTTACATACTGCTTATATTTGTCGACATAAGTAGCATGCACCGATATACAAGCAAATTTGTTATTTATATGAACTAAGTGAATTGAAAATTAACCACCACACTGGAAATTACCATGTGTAGGTATGAAACGGAAAAGTTTTAAGAAACAAAGAGATACCTCAGTAGTTTAGCAAAACATTTCGCACAAAGAAAAACAATTTTTCCATATACCTGCTTTTTGAGTTCCCAATCTTTCGGCGCTGCATCACACATAAAGGCCGCCAACATATCGAGACCATTATACTGTCGAAAAAGTTTAAGACAAGCATCGTTTTCTGTTTTAATCAGACGGCTAAGAAGCTGCAGTCGAGTGTACCTTGTAAGGCATTCTTGAACCATAACTTGTAATAACAGAGTTATATCGTCTGCATTTCTGAACGAATCTAATTGAAGGAGTTGAAGAATGCGTCTTTCAACCTAGAGGTAAAATGAATTTAGCAAAGGAATATGTCAACTGTGATAAATCCACTACAATTAGTAGAATGGGATAAAACGATTTCCAAATCTAAATCACGTCACGTAAGCAGTTGAAAATTAATTCTCAACTTTTTATTTGATATTCTTGTAAATAATGCAACTAATTTAACTAAATAAAAAATCCGTGTACTAGGCTATAAGTCATACTCTTTGTGAGGATAATTATTCAATTTGGGTGCACAAACCGGAGATAGAACGGGGTTCGGACCAGCGAATTAGGGATTGGAAGTCGAATGCTATAAGCAAATAACTGATCTTTGTGGTAAATAATTTAGAAACTGAGCATGTTGTTTCCTAAGGCAACATTAAAGGAACCTAAAGTAGTAGAATGGATGAAATACTCAGGATAGTCTAATCCTATCCTACTTGTTTTTGTACAAGCTTTTGAAGATGTTAGCAAATATATCGAACAAAAACCTATTAAGCCAGTGACTTCACTGCATAGTTTAAGTCAACTGGTCGATGGTAGTGTGATGGAAGCAATTCACAAGAATACTCTTACATAGTGTGTAGTGGAACGTGATGTCGAAGTTGTCACAGTAGTCAGACGGAGAAAAGAGTTTCAGTGCACCAAAATCACGGTGTAGGCAGAACACTTGATGACCAGAAGAGAAGACAGTTCGGGTTGAAGAACACACCGCAAGATGCAGATGGATGACCGGAGATTATGCATACATACAGTGTAATTTCTTACAATAAAAATCCCTTTTGTTCATTGCCTTGTTTTACAGTAGTACTGACAAGATTAAAGATAATTACTATTGACCAGCAACACATGTGAAAGTGTTCGGGGACTTATGGAAAGATAAACACGACCAATCCATACAAGATGTAAGCAAACCTCAACTTGTTTTCCAACTTCTTACCAAAACTTGTTTTATGAGAAATTTGTCTTCAGTTACCAATATTTTGTTCCATATTTTGGAAGATAGATATTAAGACAGCATTGTTCTAGAATTCAATCGGCTCCCTGATCGTGTATATATATATATATATATATATATATATATATATAACTGGCAGGTTGTTACGACCTATATTTCTTACGGCAAATTCAAACACGCAGACTCATGTTAACGGAGTGGGGAAGATCAGCCGGGTGTACGTTTTCGTAACTCGATACTTGGTAAACTTGATCAGTGAAGATACATTATGTGGGATCTTTCATTAGATCTATCCAAGCTATGATTCATAAAAGCACTAAATGATGACAAGAAATTAACTCAGCAATAACTCAGTCCAATGAAACATTCGATTTAGTTACCCACGTGAATGGTACAACTGGTTTTGACGAAACATCGACAAGATAAAAATATAAATCGCTTGAGGCGCTAAATTACTTACTGAACTTATGATGAAGATAATAGTATAGAATCATGCACAACACACGCAAATGCTGCAACAAAACATAGAGTTATTTGTGTCATATTACCCCCTTGAGTAGCAATGGAAAATTGTCCGTTAGTTTTTTGTGTATTCTTGTTAGTCCGAAGGAGTAGTATCTAACTTACAAATCCTAACCTGAAGCTACGGTTGCAAGATTATCATATAACTACTTAATCGCTCAAAACTCAAGTCACTGGTAACTGTGGTTCGAATTATGACACTTTGAGTGGCAGTAAGAATATTTTGCTAAGCCTTATCTCAATTCAAACTTGTACTTATGTCATGATAATTGATACTTGAAAAAAGGACGCCTAAGAACAGGTAGTATAAGGTCGAAAATGAGAAAAACTTAAGTCATCGTATTGATATTTTACTGCAAAATGTCTAGCTTTCAATTTTGCTCAGAAGTCAGTAACAAAACGATGAGTTTTCTATCCCAAACTGACTATGCATTTTTGACTGTTTCAAACTGGATTTGTTTCGCCATTTAGGACAAATTTAACTGCTGTCGGTTACGAAGTGTTGGCGGTAAAAGTAGATAAAAATAAATCACGAAAAGTGACATTGCACGCACTAACAATCCATGACATACCATTGTAGTATCTTTCATGCGAACTTTTTCTTGCAAATATTTGCTGGTCGCTCCCATTACACCAGAGCAGGTAGACGCACCACAATAGCACTTTTGTTCAGAAACCCTGAATTTTACAAAACAATAAACAAAAATATAGAACGAATAAGTCCAAAAGTTAATATAGTGGTGAAAGAACAGATTTTGTTAAAAGCGTCTTATTGGATGTTAATAAATTTACCTCATCCAACCAATTAAACTTGCCCCAAGAAGAATGGATACGATTGTTCGCTTAGATTTTTTTAATGTGAAGTGAGTTCAACCTGAATAAACATTGGTTTGAGTCAAAAAGGAACAAAATAACTATTTTATAGTTAGTCGAATGGTGCCAGTTAATTTTACGAAACGGAAAAGTTGGAATTAAAAATCAGATTATGCATAATACCTAATATAACGTATCTGTATATTTGTTTCAATTTGGGCAAAATTGGTCTTGAAGCTCGTGAGTATGCATTTGTGAATATAGGATAATAATATAACATCACCTTATGACCTTAAACGAACATAATTTTACGAGGTTGCACACTGAAATCGGGATTTCAAGAGTCACTCGTTATTTTATTGTCTACGAGCTCTTACGGTAAGTATACTTTAATACATCTTATTTACTGAGTATAGATTTACGCATTAAAATCTGAGCCATGATTAATATGATATATATATATATATATATATATATATATATATATATATATATATATATATATATATATATATATATAGCACCACCTCCCAGACTGAAGTAGGATAGAGTTCTTTATAAAAATCTGACCTTCAATAAAGACATTTCAGTACCTGGGATATATTTGGGTGAAACCATAGAAACATTTTATGTAAAATTTCCTAAAAGCTGTGTGTAAGAATAAGTCTTAATTTTCGACCTAGTCACAGAGTAACAATAAAGCAAACGTAGTTTAGTATGACTATATAGTCACAGCTGATCCAAGCATGTAGGTTTAAATAAAAGCCTTTAAACCTCAACACTCCATGTACTTATTTTCAATTGCCGAGTGGCAGATTCCAACATTTTGCATACCGTCAAGAAATTCATGTAGTATTATTACAGACCTAAATTTAGCTGAATTGTGATACAATAATTGGGATTTTGTTCGGTTATTTGGATACATGACATCACTGGGATAAAACAAACTATGAACAAGGATTGTAGTGTGGCGTCGAGTTGACTATGATCGCCACTACAGGAAGACTACGTGCCAGTTAAGCGATAAGATCCCCCGTAAGTCAAATATCAGAAGGCAGTTGATGGCTGTAGTCCAGATGTATTTGCTGGCGATCTCGTGGTATCGAAAGAATTCTGAGATCGTGCCAGGTTACAAGTGTGGTTACTGAGCGTAACCGAATTTGTGCAATGTCACAATCAACGGAAGGAAGAGTCTTTAGTACAGTTAAACAAACAAGTATAGTAAAACAATCACTGGTACAATTGGTTATAATAATAATTGTTTCCATTAAACCAATCGCGTTCTCTTGATAAAAGTAGGTCACTAAAAGATCATGAATGTCTAGAGAGAATCCGGGCTAAAGACCTTCAGTGACTGTGTTTGATCATCGTTATCTCCGAATAAACTGTCAGCATTTATAGATAACACCATGATAGTAATGCAGAGGTTCGGATATCTGTGTTCGGGGGTGGTGACAACAGCCCGATTAGTTTCATCATGTTGAAATACTGGCTCCAGTGGTTTGAATATGTACATCAAATGTCTTCCAATCGACTTCCACATCGTGCTTTGTTTCCTGACACTGGGTTCGGATAGCGAGAGCGGAGGAATGATCAGTTTATGACACGCTGCCGAGGTTTGAAAAAACATTGTATAAGACTGGAATCCATTGGTGCAAATTATTGTCTTGAAATATTATTAGACATAGCTCAGTCCTGTTGTAATTTTGTTTCACTTCAGGAAAACAAGAGGGACTTCTGTAACTAAAAGTAGTATTTCTGAATATTTTTTCACATGTACTGTTTCTCCTGTTCACTCACTTATTCACTTGATTATTTTTTTGATCATATTAACCCTCCATTGTCTATCTCTACACGACCTCATTCACTTATTTGTGTGGCAAAGATTTATTTTAGTGCCTGTTTGTATCAATATTTGTATTTAAATAAACAAACAAAACCTAATTCAATTTATTAAATTCCGACGTTCTATTGAAAATGTCCATACGTTCCTCCTTAATTCGAAAAAGTTGTAGGCAGAACAACCAGGAATTTTCATTAATTTAGTAAAGTTACTGGATTTTGGATTTAGACATTTAGAACACTAGAATCATTTTAGGACACGTTAGACGACAAACCAACGGATATCGTTCAGAAAGCATTCAACTGCAATCAGCAGTTACCTGAGTAAGCATCTTCTATCACAAAAAAATAACATCGAAAACTAACCACTGACACGTGAAACGTTATTGCTTCAAGGAACACACCAATATCGCCAGTAGTTAATACCACTATTTGTGTGGATAGAATCCACAGTCCTATCTATCAGCTGAAGTTTATCATTTTTAAATGATAAAATACGAATTAGATTCATTTAGATATTCATTACAATCATTTAGACTGTTTCCCAGCACAATCATTTTGACACGTAATTGCAAGCTAGACACTTGGTAAATAAACATAACTGATGAATATTAAACACATATTACGAATCTCAAGGTTTATAGATAGTCAGTGCTGTTAAAAGTACTATTAACAAAACTGGTATTTTGCTTTAACATCTACACAAAATTGTTACATTTAATCAAACTTCTAGGTTTAACGCCATTTTATTCTGAAAACACATTACACAACACATACCCATACTGGACAAACTGGTAATCTATGGTTACTTCCTGACCAGATGGGATATCTTCTTTAGCAAAAAATCCAATGCGTATTTCACCATCCACACTCCACTAAGAAACAAAAACAAAGATAATAAAATACCGTAAGTAGTTGCTAATGGGCAAGTTGTTTTCCAGGTATTACGACAGTACTACGAATAACTATAGGGAACAACTTATTGAACGTTAAATATATGAACTATCAATTAACTAATTAGTTTAAAACTTACCAAACATTCAAGATGATTATTTATTTACCTTTTGAGTAACACAGTTGGGTTCGCATGAGTGATTTACGAATCTTGCCCAGTTGCCTTTACTACCAGCATCGATGAATCTATCTGACTCCACAGCCATAAAGTAGTGATGAGCGTGACCCAGGCGTTCGTACCGCCGGATACGTCGACGAAATTCAGAAAAGTCAATTACTTCTCCCACATATTCAATTACGAAAGATCCTCTACAAATAAAAAAGTTCCAATGAAGTAGTGTATTGCATCAACTTACTTTTCGACGTTATCTGTTGCCATCAGTCCCCACCCTTTGTCTTTACCCGCATAAAAGGGTCTTGTCGGAGCGTAAAGCCTCATCTGGAACTGACGATTACTACAAAAATCACCAGCAGCACAATGCGGTCCGCATTCAATATTCAGAGCACGGTTGATACAACCAGGACCACAGGAAAGTATGCCTAGATCAAGTTCCACTGGAGTAGGAGCGACGCAATCACAAATCCATTGTCGCATCTCATAGTGTAATGAACTAGCACGCAATCCAGATGCCCCAAGAAGCTTACCACTTCCCGAGTATGTTGACTTACTGGGAATCGATGAACGGATCGAACTCAAAAGACTGTAGTCATTGTTCAACAAGTGAGTGTATTGTGGAATAGGTGCCCCAGGATACGAAGAAAAAATGCTGCTAAGATCAACATCATAACTGTGGGACAGAAACAAAAGGATAATTATGGAAGTCTTTCCTGAATCAACAAAAAAGTCAATTCAGTAATTCTAGCAATTGTCATTTAGTTATCAACTAATCTTATCAGCAACTCGAATGGTAAACTTATCAGAATTAATATTAAGAATATTCAATAGAGCTTTAGGAAACAATGGATCCAAGAAATAGCCACCTACATAGTTATTCTCATGAGGATTAAAATTAACAGATACACCTGGAACAAAGTAAGGGTCTAAAAAACTGATTTCTGAGTATTGTTATTAATCACAAGCAGGTTTAAGATAGCAGTGATATGGTAACAGATTTGTACATTCATACGGCAATTCACCGAGGCAAATTAACTCATTTTCAAAGAAAGTCCTGTTAGACCTAACGAATGAAACCAAACAATTCTTGAAAGGCATTAGAATTAGCGATTCAGATAATAAAACGCTAAGCTTAGATATATAAGCTCTCATCACACTCTAAACTTTTAAGAAAGGTGGGAACACTTTCGGATTCTACGAACCTTCTCAAAAGACTTAGAGTACAAAAACCGAAATGCTATCAATAGAAACAACACACCATTTGGGAGCAGATAAACCATGTGGCTCACATTAATGTAGCTAGTATTCTTGAAAGCAGAGAAATTCATTAGTAAGACGTGAGAACGAGAATCCACCGGGTTTTTGTCGATGACCATTTACAGCAACATAATTTTCCAACGCTGTGTTCTCTACAAATCCCGAGTCCCTTGTGCGTTTTATTTCTCTTAACAAAATGAAAACTAACCACACCAACTACAATAAGCTAAACGACAACTGACAAGTTTGTCCTCAATAAACACCGTGCAGGGTAAATACATTTGGCTGCCTGAACGACTGCCTATGGACCATAGTGTACGATAAAACAATTGAATGAGCACATTTTGATTGAGCTTGGATTTTAAAAATGCCTGGAAGTTAGAGAGTAATCACGATAACTGGTAACCTATACTACCTGAGAAATATTAGTTAAAAGGCTACGTGGAACACCAACGAGAACTAACAGTTAAATCTTCATGGTGCAGAACTTGGGACGCTTTACGAACTGGTACAAATTATTACGCTTGTAACGTACAAGTCTTATTTCAAACAAAACATCAGACGAAACCAAACTATGCTTGTTCTGTGTAAACGCGCTAGACGTCTGAATAGACAACGTAGGCGGTAATGGTTAAACGCTATTTCAGATCATTATTAACCTTATAGGATGTAATTTTGTAGCTAAAATAATCAAAATGAGCATCTTTAAGTTGCAATTAAGTAGACTTACTCGGATAACCTTTCATACGGATTGAGAGTGTTGGACAGAAAACACATCGGGATATGAGGCTTAGTCTTCCGTTTCCGCAGGTCGTATTTCGATTCGCATGGCCTAATGTCCTGTGTACTGACAACTGTTAGTGGTGTACCATCTACGTGTTCATCAATTTCAGAGCACTGGATATCTAACACATCCAGGTCTCTAGCAGGTTGTGACTGGATGCCATCAGTCACCTCACACATTTTTTGAATACCTTGCATATCCAAATGCTGGGATGACTCGTTGATGGAACTAGGTTCACTTGAAACATGAGAAAATAAGTCAGGAACTGAGATGGGTTCAAGGACGTCATTGACAGTGACGATAAACTCACCCCCCGGAGAGCTCTGAGCATTAGCAACTTCTACATTATGTGGACAGACTGTGTCCAACTCCACATTCGACTCCGACTCCATGACATAGCTATCCACCGGCTGAACTTCCATACAATTTGGTATATTGTTAGGTGGAGATGGTAGCGGTATTTCATCTACAAAACAAAAGGTAATTTCCAGACATTCGAATAAAATCTGTTAGGGAAACCCTAAGAAATAATCTTAGCGGAAGGACCAAGATTCATACGACTACACAGCAACCACTGCGAGTGGTGGCTAAGACTAACGAGTGCTAGACTCCATCTAAACTGAAATCACAAACTACCAACACAAACGAGTAAACAAATGACAGATCACCCGCAATAAAACTGTGTCAAACTTATAAACTCGATAAACGAAACACCCCAAGAGATATCGCCAAAGAATAACAACCTCACTCTGACAGGATTTCTTAAAAAACCACAGCTGAGAAACAAAATTTATTGCCAAAATGTACAAGGTTTAAAAATACAGCTGAAAATTACACTCAGCGCTTTGTAGACTGATGTTACTTGACCTAAACGGAAAGTGTACACACAGGTTCAGATGTAATTAAATCAACACTCAAGAAGACAAAAAGTTGATCTGTCATGAAACCTCAAGTGCGTAGATACAAAGTACTGAATGATTTGTATGGATAGCAGTTTACTTAATTGTTAGAGGGAACTGTGACAATTTCATTAGTAGTTCCAAAACTCAACGTAGCGACTAAGCCTTACCTATATTCACACTTTTGGATGGATGGAGTGACTGTGACGTCCGTTTTTGAGATTTCATATTACTCACTTGTCCTTCATTCCGAATAACCTCACTGTGTCGACGTTTAACCTCACTGGTAGAATGATTAGTTCCATGTTGACTTGAGTCGGAATCCGTCGAGCTACTATTACTCGACTGTTCATGCTTAAGTGAAATAAGCTTTCTAGAAGGAGACTGATTTTCGCTGTTTGATGATGAATTAGGGCTACTATTCGAGGGATCATCACTATCAGTTTGTTCTGATGATTGTCTGTAACCCAGTTTTGGATGGGTCTTACGGTAAACATCTTCGAGTGTACCAGTAATATGTGAAGTTAATTTCTGCGTCTGAACGTATTGCACATTATCAGATTCCCGCTTAACATCAGAATCTACTTTTTCTGTAAGGCTCTTGACGATAGGTCGAGCAACGGCACTTTTTGTGCTAGTCTTGCTTTTTTTAACATACGATGATCGTTCAGTTTTTTCGCACACTTTCTTTTTTTTTTCTGGAGTGCCTGAGCGATGGTAAGATCTCTTTGTTTCTTCCAAGTGTGAATTTTTGTGGTCTAGTTTTTTCTGAGAAGTAGGGAACTTTTTTCTGTCTGATTCCCGTTTTCCTATGCTTTCAGCGGCTTCTAATTTTCTTTTGTGATCAATACTGCGTTTCCTACTACCTTTAAGGTGACCGTGATCAGTAGATGAACGGTGACGCTCTTTAGAGTTCTGATATGACCGCGATCTGTGGCGAGCACGGCTAGAGCGGTGCACTGAATTCGAGGAGCTAGATGAGTGGCGACGTCGTGAGTGTCGATTTCCACTAGACCTTCTAGAACGAGACCGTCTGTGAGACCTAGGATACTTGTGGGAATGTGATCTTGATCGACGACGACCATTTTTGCTCTTCGGCGTCTCCTCATTCTGTTGAGACTGATTCGCAACAGCCGGATTAGCTATCAACGGAGTAGCAATCATCTGCGCAGATCTAAACTTTTGAGGGTTTACAAACTGCATTCCAGCAGTTGGGGGTATCGACGCCTGAACAAGAGTGGGATCAGTTGCATGAGCATGGATCAAATTTCGAGTGGCAACGATCGGTACAGAGTGGTGAAGCGGTTGGATATTTAAACTCATTAAATTTGGTATTGGAGAGGCTTTCACTGGTAAATTTGTTCCAGGAATATGTGCTTTATTCGCAATATTATTACTAAGTACTATAGACTTGTCAACTGTACCGGATAGGATCAGTTGCCCAGAACTGATCATAGAACTAGTAGATTGAAGATCACTGGATTCAGAAGATGCAACAGAATGAGGATGAGACAGTAAACCTTTGGTGTGATCTGAAGTAGAACTTAAAGTCTCACTTTCTTTAGTTGGTAGAAATAAATCGGTCTTGACCTCAGTAGCAGGCAATTTGTTTTTTGCAGGTAAGACACCGACAGGAAGTTGAGAAGGCTTTGACCTTTTCATCATCGCTTGGAGTTTAGGCATGGCTTTAGGCTCCTCAACCTTTACATCCTTAGATGATTCGAAAACTCCGGATGATTCTGTAGGCACATCTGAACCTGGTAAAGGCTTGGTAGACTTTCGCATACTGAATTTTAGAGGTCCTAAAGACTCCACTGTGTCAGACTTTGGGAGATAAGAAGACAAACGAGGATAAAACGGCGGTCCTTTATCTTCTACATTGAGGTTTGGTAAGGGAATGTCAGAAGCTTCTATCTTGGCAGCCGGCGGTAGTGGAATATTACATACATCACTGACACTCTTTGGTATAGGAGCATTAATTGGCCCTAAGAATTAGTTAATTATGGATTTCGCTATAAATATCACATACTTGGTAGTGGAATAGCTGATAAATCAAGCGACGGAGAACAATCCTCTAACTCACTAAATTAGATTTTCGTATACAAAAACAAACGAACTTACTCCGTTGGTGAAGCCGGGTCATACTCCATCAAGATATATCAGCTGTGTGAAACTAATACGGTACAATCCCACCAGAATACAACCAAGGACGTTCAATGCTGTATTTAAGCGCTTTTTATTACCGGTGCAAGTTAAAACAAGTTTCAACTCCAGAAATTGGATTAGCAGATTGTCTTATAAATATTGTATTTTGCAATAAACATATTCATTTGTCCTCAACTAAATTGTCTTTCAAACGAGGCTCCGCCATGTATACAGCAAATTAAATCATATTATACCATTTGTAATACATGTAGAAGAGATATTTGGTTCAAGAAGTTGGAATCCTTATAATGATGACGTGCTTTATCTTTAATTTTTTGCTTTCGTTAACGATATGACCTTTGTAATATTATTCATTCTCTATGTATTACACAAAATGTACCTCCTCTGATTTTGAGACTAATATTCTGCCTTCATAAATGAAATAAAACTTGGGTATCTCGAATGAACCTAATGAATTATAAGCCAATATATGTAACAAACTCAACTTGTTTGACGAGAATCTTAAGGATGTTTCGCATATCTTGTATTTACTACATGAATGTCAATGATTGCGTGCCAGTTTCTGTTGTCACCACGATTTAGTGTTAAGTAGAAAAGTAATTGATTGACCGGAAACTCCAAGTTCAGGACAGGCAGAGTCTCAGTGACTCCATCATTTTTCGAAATATTATACATACGAATACCAACCTAGCCGTCTGTGTTAAGTGAACTTTTGTTTTAAATGACATTGCAAGTTTTCGTCCTTCCCAATTATAAGTAGTTTCCGATAGTGCTTGTATGACAAAATTGTCATTCACACTTTACCGAATTTCAGAGTTTCATCTAAGAAAACCGGCAAGCGTTATAGGACGTAGCTAGTAAGTGGTATCCATAGGTAAGATGAAACATGATGAAGTAATAAAACTAAAAACTGTTTACTAATTTATCACCATTGTTGTTGTGTGAGACACCACACCATGCCATTTTTTCAGAAAATAGGTCTTTTATGATGCTAAACATTATTTATCTCATATTTGGTTGAAGATACTGCTATTTTGCGCGCCTATTTAACTGGTTCAATTATACCAATCGTCTCGGTTATATGACAGATTTTATTACTATTGTTAGTCATGATGCATCACCAATTCTTTCGACTTTACACTAGTGTTTCTCACAACCATTTTCCGAAATGGTTTGATACATTCATTCTTCATCAATTTATCATGGCTTGGCTACGATTATTAAAGAAATATTTCCATCATGCTGAGTGACAACAATTCACAAGAATTCAGCTCAGTATGAGCCGTAACACCCACATACTGTACTTCAACTAAACAGATATTGTTGACGAATAACTCAAAAAAGTTGCAGAATATCGAAATTTATTGTAAAACCAACGAGAAACCAGACATAATATCCATGGCTGAGATAAAAACCGTTACAATACTTCGTTTGCAATCAATCAAATTAACAGAATCTGAATTACGTTTGATGACATGAACAGTAGTTTTATAAACTGGCTGCATGAGTCTTACTTTACCAGAATTAAAGCATTTAACTTCAGGAAAGACACACGAATTACGTGGTTGAAATTTATCACAGAATAAGCATTTGCTAAACCCATGCTCACCTCTTCAATCTGCTTTACGACTTTTTGATTAAATTTTATCCACTTTTCACGAAAACGAGGATTATCGTCAATTAAACGTCTACCTCGACCTTAAGTACGCACTGGATTAGTATAACTAAGCATTGTGCTGGAATTCTTGATGTCCTGGGAGTTATTTCCATGCGCTGCTTCATAATTAAAACACGCAGTTCTAGCATCCTGAAAGGAACACTTTGGTATTTTTGTAAGCTTGTAGCGTGGCGTCGAGTCGAGTTGGACTATGAACACCGCTACCATAAAAGCTCGTTCCAAATGACTCCATAAAATCCCCGAGAAGCCAAATATCAGAAGGCAATTAATGGACCAAATCGAGGTATATTCGCTGTCGATCTCGTGGCATCGAAAGGAAACCGAGATCGTACCAGGATACAAGCTTGGTTACAGAATGCAACCGAATTCGCGCGAAGTTACAGTCGAAGTGTAAGAATAAGAATGGAAGCACAATATAGCTGTCATTAGCACAGTCAAACAAGAGCACATTAAAACAAGCACTGGTACAGTTGGTTATAATAATAATTGTTTTTGTTAAAGCAGTTGTGTTCTCGTGATAAATGTGAGTCACTACAAGCTCTCTTTCCAGACTCGGTATGCTAATTCTTTAATTAATCGATCATGCAGCTGGACGTCGGGTTAATCTGCCTTTTGGTTGGCCTAATAAATCATTATATGAAATTTCGCTCGTTCACAGCATTCAACATATGTACACTTTACAAGATCTAGAAGTAGTTCTATAAAGTTACAGTAATTGAAGGAATAATGACCCGATTAAAATTAAAGTTGTTTAGAGAAGGTTCGCTAGTTGTTTGGGGTATTATGACAACAAAGACCATCACCAAATAAGTCAACAAATTAAGTCAGAACCTTTCTGGATCAGACATGTAAAACTAGACTTTTTCTTTATCTACTGACTTATGATCGGCACTTCTTATTCTTCGGCATCCACCCTTCTATACTCTAAGATACGCCCCACAACTTTTCTAGCAATTCCAAGAACCTACAAAAACATATGCCAGAAGCTTTTCGTTTCTCACTATTTAACCATATGAAACAGACTCTTAGTGAGCTTCCGTTGTAGATAATCCATAACCCAGTTCAAAAGTCTCCTTGATTAATTTATTTCCCAAAGTGGATTGTGTCACCTATTGAATATTAATGAATTTAACAAGGATTTATACAAACAAGGTCTGTTACTAATCTAATTAACAGAAGAACAAAGTAGAACCCATGGAACTTTTCTCGCTCATTTTATTTTGCTTTCTGTCTATTCATCCTAATATCTCAAGTCTGCCTCTGTTAGAATTTATTATTATTATAACACATTTCTGCAAGGGCAAGTAAACACCATTTTTACAGGTATGATCTACAAATTATAACACTTATCGGTTTACGGTATGCATCTCAATCAGGGTTGTACATCAAGTTTGTTTCGGATGTCAGAAGTCCCATAGCTGTGTTCTCAGAGCATGAATCTGAAAGAAAAAAGAGAAACCGAGGAGCAGCAAAGCACTTGGATATGAACGATAAACAATACTTAACATTTAGTAGTGGAAAAGACAAATATGATAAATTATTAGATTAAATTCATACTAGCTCATGTGGCTTGAGTGAAATGTGATCAGCGGCCCCAGATGAGAGAATGCTGTAATAAAGAACAATGAATTGTGATATTTATCAAGGTGGGGTAACTTCGAATAAAGCAAGGGAAGTCAAGGTTGGAATAAGGAAGGCTGTTTATTAGAACAGAAAGTGTATATAGAGAGTAAAGTGTCAGGGGAACTAACAACTATGTCTTATTGTCCGATTTTTTTTCTATATTACTTTCTATCCGATGCCTGCCACACAGTTCTAATATAAAAGTCCGCGTTGGCATGTTATTGGTTGTCTTAGTAGAATAGCTAATCCAGCATAATATTGGAAACATGAGTCCTGATGGTGAGCATTGGAAAAAACCTCAATATCACGGATTGATTGACTTGATCTCGAACATAAAAAGCCTGACACAAACAAAATGTTCTGCCCCACAAACATGAGTGGATTTAAGTCATCACCCTCACCATCAACGCTTGCTGGTCAGTAAATACACCTTCCCTCCTTTTGCGATGTTAGGCTCATTTGAGCTTATTTTATGGATATATATCATACCACACACAATGCACTGTTTCACATTTTGCTGGAAAACACTATTCCTATAAGTACCATTTTACTCAATCTCCCAATTTTGTGGAAGCCGCTATAGAAAATTATGGGGAAATGGCATTAAAACTTCAAATTTACCCCATATTAGGGGAAATTACCCAATACTACACCAGAATATTATTACACTTTGGGGAAATCGGCCAATATTTATTGACGAAACCCAAAAAGTTCGGGTAGATTCAGCGTTTTTCCCCAGAAGTTTACTATAGTTTTTGGAAATTCGTCTGTGTTTATAAAACCAGAAAATTCTGCGCGATTTCGTCGAAATAATACAAAACGTCTCGTTTTAACGTAACGCTCCTCAACAATTTTCTACAGGTAGTGAATCCATAACCCAGTTCAAAAATCTCCTTGATAGATTTAGCTGAAGGGAAAGTGCTGTCTAAAGAAATTCAAGGTGCTTTACACATAAATGAAGAATGAGACTGGAGTGATGATGACGTTTAAGGAGTTGCTACTTATCAAGATGATGAGTATCTTTAGGCTGGAACTGAAGATCCACGCGTTGTTATCACTACATCACGTTCCAGTTCAAAACTAAAAGAATTCGCCAAAAAATTACGTCTGCTAAAAATTAATCGTGGTAACTAATTGGATAATAATTTGTTGGAAGTTTGTTTAGCATAACAGATTACTGATATCGTTAGTTTCAACGAATCACGTGGTGTCTCAGACACTTTAATTAGTCATTAGCCGTTTAGTCCCACTGCCATATTCACTTTGTAAAATGTACACACACGTCATGATATGGAAACTACGGGTTATGGTACCGGAGCGAAAATGCCTCAAACATTTTCTAATCATATATTCAAGGGATTGAATTCCGAATTAGGTCAGAATGTTCGTTGTACATTGAAACATTTAGTTCCTGTACCTAAGAATGATTCTGAACGTGTGGTCACATGGTACGAGGATGATGTCATATGTTCCATACACCACACATATAAATATGTGGATAAAAAATTGGAACTACCTGAACATGGGCCTTCACTCGATCCATAGCATCGTGCAAGAAAGCCTGGCTTGCAACATCCATGTCGTGCACTACTTCTTTCTCATGACAGGTAGCACTTTGGAACCGGGAACACAAAAACCTCACAAGTATATTAATACTGTAGTGCAGTCTTACTTTGAGTCGTACGTTAAAATTTGTACTTGCTAACGGCAAGTTTACTTTTGGTTCCGTGTAAAGTGTTCGTGTTTGCCAGTTCCGGCGATAACGCATAGCGTAGGCAGGCGTTTGCTAACTTACGAGAGTCGTCACATATGATCTCGTACAATCTGGCCACTTAAAATTTGTTCAGATACCTGTTGCAACTTACGAATTGATCACGAAACTT